GAAGAAGAAGAAGAAGATAAGAAGGAGAGAAAAACGAAGAGAAAGAAGAAGAAGAAGATAAGAAGAAGAAAAGAACGAAGAGAAAGAAGAAGAAGAAGATAATAATTGGAAGAAGAAAAGAATAAAAAATAAAATAAAAAGAACATTGTCGTCGATTACTTATCTGTGCGGAGGTAGCAATGACGATGACGAGGATGGCACTGCGCAGCGACGAGGACAACGGGCACGGCGATGGTGACGTGGCACCACGACGACGATCGCAACGATGACGATGATGACGTGGCACGACGGCGACGATCACGACGATGACGTGGCACTACGACGATGATGCTGATGATGGCCAGGTGATGACGACGAAGCAGGGTGGGTGGGGCGGGTTCGAACCTCTCCGATACCAGTGTGACGAGGCAGAGACAGAGTGGCGAGGCTGAGGGAGAGATAGAAGAGAGAGAGTGAGAGCACACGCACACACTCACTCGACTCAGACACGGACTCAACTCGACACGACGTAGCAAAGTCCCGAAGTCGCAAAGTTGCAATCTTGGATTCCGAACACAAAGTCGCGGCAAGTCACACTGAAGCACAAGCACAGAGGCCGAAGAGTGAATGCCCGTACTGGGCTTGAGTCCGGTCTTAAGTAACGGACTCAAGTTCAGTCCGGAGGGCAGAAGGCCATTGCCTCAGGACTGAACTGAGAATCGAAAGTCTGAGTCTGGGCGCCAGAATGCCGGATGGCACCAAGTGTCGAAATCCGAAAGTGCCAAAGGAGGGATTTGAAAACGGGCGCCAACTGCAGAGGGCGCCAACTGTCAGAAACCGAAGAGCAGGAAATAAAAAAGAAAAAAAGTAGCAGGCTGGCGGGTGGTACCTCGAGGACCAGGGATCAAGCCCTGGCTGAGTCCGTAACACATGCAGTTAAATCCAGTCCGTCAGCCAGACCTGTTGCTACGCAGGTGGAGGTCCAGATCCATCAGTTCTCCTTTATACTCAAACGGGCTCTGATAAGGTTAAACTCATTATCATAGACTAGATGTTTCTTGTCCGCGGTCCGCATCTATGTTATCACAGTCTTCAACTGTTTGGACGCAGGTCAGTGAAACATGGTTTGTTCACAGGTTGCAGGAGCCGGGAAACAGCTCTCCCGTGGGTGACAGGCACGGGGCGATCATAGAGCATGTTTCGCGTGCCGGCAGATCACTTCAACCGGTCGACACCGGTCCTGAGATGCCCTTTGTCGTGACCACAAATGCCAACCAATATGGCATTGGTGCTGTCCTCGCGCAACAGGAGGGGAACAAGTTGAGGCCTATCGAGTACATGAGCAAAAAAATGCCATTTCAAAATTTAGCTAAGTCCACTTACGACTGAGAGCTCTATGACCTCTGTAATGCGTTGACTCGTTGGAGGCAATTCCTCCTTCGCAAATTCTTCTATGTGAGTTTGACCATGAAACTCTTCGCTGGATCAAGGATCAAGATTGCTGGATCAAGGATCAACCTACTCTCTCTGATGCACTGAAAAAGAGATGGTGTCAACCTTCCGACCACCTACATCGACTTCTACGATTAAGTGTTCACCCCTAGGACTGCTAATCATTATCGCCCATGAGTCTTTAGGGTCCTTCTCTAACCACTCACTTTCTAACTCCTCTAAGGACTCTGTCACATTTATCTAACAAATATCGAATGATCTGGATCTGTCTGAGGGGTGATCATAGAGTCAATAGCCTCGGCCAATGTCTGAAGTGGAGAGGGTGTGGCCACCACTTCAGCTCGAGTAGGAGCAACTAATACTCCTATTTGCCCGATGTGTTTCCCTGAGATGTGCTCACAGGAGCACCACTCGAGGTTGAAGGGACCGTTGGCCCAATAGTGGGTGACACCCACAGATATAAAAATAAGTTAGTCAATGAGGCTTCCACCGATATGCACAACTTTCCCTCCTTTAGTAAGAAGGCCTTGGATATTGAGGCCAAACTCAGGAATGCACATCAGGCTTTAACAGATGGGAGAAAGAAGAAGCTCTCCCACGATTGGAAGAAGGACAACCTCATGTATGTTGACCATGATCGCAGTATGACTGAGGCTGAAGACTTCTCTGGCCTTGGCGTAGACACAATCGTGGAAGGGGCTGCAGACATTCCGGAGGGTGGAGTAGCAACTCCCTTCCTCAACCATGTGTCGAGGTTCTCCTCCTTTTTCTTGTCACCTGAAAAAGGTTTGGGAGCGGCCAACGGTATCTTCAGCATCCACTGTGGCTGTTGCCCAGGACCCTGTGCCGGCTCCGGTGGAGGCTGCATCGGCTGCTTGCTGGAGCCCTGTAGCTGCAGCAGGTAACTGAAGACCTAAAGAAGCAGGCAATGGCGCCTGCCAACTAGGAGCTGCTGATGGACCGCCTGGCGGAGCAATGCCAAACTGTGGAACAAAGGGACCTCTCGTAGGCGGCATCAACATGGATGGTCCAGCCACTGCTAGAGGAGCTAGTGCAGGTTGCGCAGGCCTAGCCATCGGCCTAGGACCTCTTAGCGCAGCCAGAATCTGGTTCTGGCCCGTTATCAGGGTGGATAGCATTTCCTGCTGCACGGCCTGTACTTCAGCCATACTTAGAAGGCTGAACCGAAGTGACCTTACAACAGCATGAAGTGTCGACTCCTCCATAGCTTCTACCCTGCTTTACTCCTGCCCCCTTGCCTTTAGTCTGATCGTTCTTCTTCCAGCCTTTTCTCTCCTATCCTTTACATCCTTTATCTGGCGCTGTAACTCTATG